CTCTGAAGAGCCTGGAGAGAGAAGGCCAGAAACCAGACTCAGGGACAAAACCGGACTGCATGTGTGTGTGACGTCTGTTCTCTCTTATCCGTCATTATTGGACAAAACAACCTAAGTGAGTCAAGCTGATTCGATTCAGTGAGCAAGTGAGCTGCCTGACTGATTCACACCAATGATTCCTGTGTTTGATTCACATTAGATTCACCAATTTGATTCAAATGAATCGATACAAAGACTGAACTGGTTTGTTGCCGTATGTTGACTTTTGCATGCAGTCAGACTGCGCAGACGTACCTTGCAGACTCTCTGCAGAATCTGGAGTTTGCGCTGAACAGACGAGATGCATTCAGTGAAGGTCGACTGAAAGAGAATACAGAAGACTCGTCCGGAGAAATCAGGAATCTGGGAGAGCTGATGGAGAAACCTGTGAGCATCAAAAAGATATATTAAAAGCGTTGAACGCCAGGTGTGACAAGGATGTTTTGATCAATAAATTCAATTAGTTCCATGTTTATATGAACTGTGTGTGTGTTTTGAGCCTCACTGTTCAGGTTTGTCCAGAGGTTTGCTTGCTTCTTTGTCTTTTGAGGATTTTATGTTTTTCTCGATTTTCTCCAGCTCGTCTTTCTGGGCTCTCTGAAACCACAAAACACAACCAAACTGTAAGTTCACAACTCAAAAACAGGCATGCTTCTGGACAATGAGCTGACAGAATAAAACAGTGTCGAATGCAGATGTCTGCGCCTCACGGGTAAGAATACAGATCAGACTTCATTCTGATGGTCAAAATCTGCTGATCGTCTGTCAGAGTCACTGTATTTTACACATATATGCACGCTGGTGTTCTTTGCGTTTAGCCACACTATTATTTGAGTTTGTTTGGAAGCAGAACAGAGTGTAATCAAAGTCACTAGGAAGCCAGAGTCCAATAAAAGCCACAGCGAAATTATGGAAAATGTGGTGTTGTGAAAGTACGACGCGACAGACAGACAGACAGACAGACAGAAGGACAGACAGAAATGATGGACAGATAGACGGACAGCCAGACAAATAATGGACCGATAGACACAAATGATGGACAGATAGACAGACAGAAATGATGGACAGATAGACGGACAGCCAGACAAATGATGGACAGATAGACAGACAGAAATGATGGACAGATAGACGGACAGCCAGACAAATGATGGACAGATAGACAGACAGAAATGATGGACAGATAGACGGACAGCCAGACAAATGATGGACAGATAGACAGACAGAAATGATGGACAGATAGACGGACAGCCAGACAAATGATGGACAGATAGACAGACAGAAATGATGGACAGATAGACGGACAGCCAGACAAATGATGGACAGATAGACACAAATGATGGACAGATAGACAGACAGAAACGATGGACAGATAGACGGACAGCCAGACAAATGATGGACAGATAGACAGACAGAAATGATGGACAGAGAGACGGACAGCCAGACAAATGATGGACAGATACACACAAATGATGGACAGATAGACAGACAGAAATGATGGACAGATAGACGGACAGCCAGACAAATGATGGACAGATAGACAGACAGAAATGATGGACAGCCAGACAAATCATGGACAGATAGACAGACAAATTATGGACAGATAGACAGACATAAATTATGGACAGATAGACAGACACAAACGATGGACAGATAGACGGACAGCCAGACAAATGATGGACAGACAGACAGACAGAAATGATGGACAGATAGACGGACAACCAGACAAATGATGGACAGATAGACACAAATGATGGACAGATAGACAGACAGAAATGATGGACAGATAGACGGACAGCCAGACAAATGATGGACAGATAGACAGGCAGACAGACACAAAAGACGGACAGACAGACGAACAGAAATGATGGACAGACAGACACAAATGATGGACAGATAGACAGACAGAAAGACACAAATGGACAGATAGATAGACAGACGGACGGACGGACGGACGGACAGACAGACAGAAATGATGGACAGCCAGACAGACAGACAACAGACATGCACTACGTCAGCAACAGCACCTCAAGTGATTGTGTAATTATGTTAATATCTATTAAATGTTGGAATGAATAAGTTTTTGAACAAATCTAGTGAGTAAATGATCCAATGACTCATTAATAAAGACAGCAACTTGCTTCATTTCTGAATAAATGAGTGGTTTGAATGAATCAAGTGAGTGAATGAGTCAGTGACTCATTCATAAAGGCAGTCAAGCTTCGTTTCTGAATGAATCAGCCATCTGAACAAATCGGCTGAATGAATGATTCAATGACTCACTCATTAAGACAGTGATTTGCTGCCACCTATTGGCTCTTGCAATTTCATATTTAGAGTATCATTTCATATTTCAATAATCAATATTTAATAAAAAAAAAACTATCATTCTTTATTGCAATGTTGTATCAAAGTATTTCTTTTCAAAATATTTCTTTCTAAAGCTACTTTTTCTATTCAATGCTTTTCTCATTTAGCATAATTATGACTTTAAATGATCTTTTGGGGGTAATTTCAAAGCCAAAGCTGATGTGCGATTCATTTATGATTAAGTTTTCCCGTCTCATCATCCCTCACTAGGTGTGTAAGAGAATCAGACTTCTCTGCGCGCAGAACTGCAGAACAACTGCCGACATCAAACGGCCCCGAGACGCACAGCCGAGCGCTGTAAGGCCATCAGGAAGGTGATCAAAGACAGAAAATGGCTCTCTCGCTCTCAGACACAGAGTAAAAATGAGGCTAAGACAAACACGTTCATTCAGGAGAGTGTGTGTACGGCTCAGGCGTGAATATAAACTCTGGAAAAGTCTCGGGCTCCATTAAGAGTCATCAGGAGATCCATCACTGCACATATACACACACACAGCACTTCAAACGCAAGATTAGACGCCATGGCTACGCTCTGCATCCCATTTACTGCGTTTTTAAGTGTAAATACATTTAATATGAAGCAGCTTTCAGCGGTCAAACACTCAGCCTTCAAACACAAACTCAAAGGCAGATATCAAAAGACAATATACAGATACGACAGCGAGCGGCAGGACTGACATCTGTACACGGGCCAGACTGGAAACTCGCACTCATAAAAGCAGGGAAAAACACATTAGCGCGATCATTAGGTGCATTACTGCAGTCTGACTGTATGTTATGTATTCTACCTTCTTTTTCTGCCATTTGAACAGGTCTGGATTCCATAATTACGGCGTGAGCCAGACGAAAACATCTTAATGTTTCTGCCTCCGCCGACAGACAGACTCTCAGAAGACTGAATCTGAATCGAATTTTAGGATGGTTCAAAGTCCTCTAATGATTTGGCCAAAGCAGCTCGCATCCTGAAACAAAAGCGTTTTTTTGCTTCTTTAATTAAAGCACATGACCGAATGTTCTGCTCAAATGGGGTCGATTTCATGCATGTCAACTTGTTTTGACATTAATATATTTCAGGATTGTACATGTGAAGATGGACAGCCAGACAAATGATGGACAGATAGACAGACAGAAATGATGGACAGATAGACGGACACAAATGGACAGACAGACGGAAAGCCAGACAAATGATGGACAGATAGACGGACAGCCAGACAAATGATGGACAGACAGACAGGCAGACAGGATCGACAGACGGACGGACAGACACACGGACAGAAATGATGGACAGATAGACAGGCAGATAAACACAAATGATGGACAGACAGACGGACAACCAGACAAATGATGGACAGATAGACAGGCAGACAGACACAAATGACGGATGGACAGACAGACGGACAGAAATGATGGACAGATAGACGGACAGCCAGACAAATGATGGACAGACAGACAGGCAGACAGACACAAATGACGGACGGACAGACACACGGACAGAAATGATGGACAGATAGACAGGCAGATAAACACAAATGATGGACAGACAGACGGACAACCAGACAAATGATGGACAGATAGACAGGCAGATAAACACAAATGATGTACAGACAGATGGACAGCCAGACAAATGATGGACAGATAGACAGGCAGACAGACACAAAAGACGGACAGACAGACGAACAGAAATGATGGACAGACAGACACAAATGATGGACAGATAGACAGACAGAAAGACACAAATGGACAGATAGATAGACAGACGGACGGACGGACGGACGGACAGACAGACAGAAATGATGGACAGCCAGACAGACAGACAACAGACATGCACTACGTCAGCAACAGCACCTCAAGTGATTGTGTAATTATGTTAATATCTATTAAATGTTGGAATGAATAAGTTTTTGAACAAATCTAGTGAGTAAATGATCCAATGACTCATTAATAAAGACAGCAACTTGCTTCATTTCTGAATAAATGAGTGGTTTGAATGAATCAAGTGAGTGAATGAGTCAGTGACTCATTCATAAAGGCAGTCAAGCTTCGTTTCTGAATGAATCAGCCATCTGAACAAATCGGCTGAATGAATGATTCAATGACTCACTCATTAAGACAGTGATTTGCTGCCACCTATTGGCTCTTGCAATTTCATATTTAGAGTATCATTTCATATTTCAATAATCAATATTTAATAAAAAAAAAACTATCATTCTTTATTGCAATGTTGTATCAAAGTATTTCTTTTCAAAATATTTCTTTCTAAAGCTACTTTTTCTATTCAATGCTTTTCTCATTTAGCATAATTATGACTTTAAATGATCTTTTGGGGGTAATTTCAAAGCCAAAGCTGATGTGCGATTCATTTATGATTAAGTTTTCCCGTCTCATCATCCCTCACTAGGTGTGTAAGAGAATCAGACTTCTCTGCGCGCAGAACTGCAGAACAACTGCCGACATCAAACGGCCCCGAGACGCACAGCCGAGCGCTGTAAGGCCATCAGGAAGGTGATCAAAGACAGAAAATGGCTCTCTCGCTCTCAGACACAGAGTAAAAATGAGGCTAAGACAAACACGTTCATTCAGGAGAGTGTGTGTACGGCTCAGGCGTGAATATAAACTCTGGAAAAGTCTCGGGCTCCATTAAGAGTCATCAGGAGATCCATCACTGCACATATACACACACACAGCACTTCAAACGCAAGATTAGACGCCATGGCTACGCTCTGCATCCCATTTACTGCGTTTTTAAGTGTAAATACATTTAATATGAAGCAGCTTTCAGCGGTCAAACACTCAGCCTTCAAACACAAACTCAAAGGCAGATATCAAAAGACAATATACAGATACGACAGCGAGCGGCAGGACTGACATCTGTACACGGGCCAGACTGGAAACTCGCACTCATAAAAGCAGGGAAAAACACATTAGCGCGATCATTAGGTGCATTACTGCAGTCTGACTGTATGTTATGTATTCTACCTTCTTTTTCTGCCATTTGAACAGGTCTGGATTCCATAATTACGGCGTGAGCCAGACGAAAACATCTTAATGTTTCTGCCTCCGCCGACAGACAGACTCTCAGAAGACTGAATCTGAATCGAATTTTAGGATGGTTCAAAGTCCTCTAATGATTTGGCCAAAGCAGCTCGCATCCTGAAACAAAAGCGTTTTTTTGCTTCTTTAATTAAAGCACATGACCGAATGTTCTGCTCAAATGGGGTCGATTTCATGCATGTCAACTTGTTTTGACATTAATATATTTCAGGATTGTACATGTGAAGATTTGCAGACACTGTGTTTGATTCTATGAAATCTAGAAAGAGTTTTCCAGACATCCGGGAACATTTCGTCTCATTCTCATACTGTGATTTAGACTACAGATTAGTGTGAGTGTGAGGTTTCTGATATTAAAGAGGTCATGAAACGGAGAATCAACATGTTCTTCATATTTACACATGAGAGGTTACTCATGCGATCATTTTTAGTGCAGAAACTTTGCAAACTTTAAAACTAACCTCGAGAAACACTGTGTACAAACCTGAAAACGCATTTCATGAGCCGTATGCACTTAATGATTCTGCATTATAAATGTTTGTATTTTCCTCAGTATATGTGAAGGTTTCTGCAGCACATGTTTGGCATGGTCTGAGGATTCTTTCATGTCTGAAGCCCTAAAAATGTTACGAGCAAGTTATATTTTTAGGGGACTGTTCTAAATATGATGCATGAAAACAAAAGAATCTGCAAAAAGCACAGCAGCAGAAGGAAAGAGAGAGAGAGAGAGAGAGAGAGAGAGAGAGAGAGAGAGAGAGAGAGAGAGAGAGAGGGGGGAAGAGAGAGAGAGAGAGAGAGAGAGAGAGAGAGAGAGAGAGAGAGAGAGAGAGAGAGAGAGAGAGAGAGAGAGAGAGAGAGAGAGAGAGAGAGAGAGAGAGAGAGAGAGAGAGAGAGAGAGAGAGAGAGAGAGAGAGAGAGAGAGAGAGAGAGAGAGAGAGAGAGAGAGAGAGAGAGAGAGAGAGAGGGGATCTGCTTACGTTCTCATAGAGTGCCTGTAACGTCTCCAGATCAACCACAGTGTTATCCAGATTCAGGATCGCTGCACACACACACACAATCAGATACACACATTAGACAGGAATCAGCAGCTGAAGCAGATTTAAAAAACAGTTATCAGACTAAGTAGCCTCATATCCCTTTAAATTCAACATTAATGATTAAAATAATTGAAATTAAATTTATATTTAATATTCATAAATATTTATAAGCAAAATTAATACACAAAAACAATAAAAAGTATTACGGTTCATTTAGAGAGTAATAGTCTTCGGTTGCAGATCATGACAAGAATATTATTAGAAAATGTAAAGCTTTTAACAATATTTGACAAATGGTAACGGGTGATTATTTAAGGATGCAAAATAAAATTTAAAAAATAAAATAAAATAAAATGAAATAAAATGAAAAATAAAATCTATTTTTTTTCCTTTTTATTTTTAACAACACTTTACAAATGGTAACAGGGTTGATTATTTAAAGATAAAATTAAAAAAGAAAAATAAAAAGTACAAAATAAAATGAAATCATCATTTTTTTTTTTTTAATTCTCACTTTTTATTTTTAACAACATTTTACAAATGGTAACAGGGTTGATTATTTAAAGATAAAATAAAAAATAAAAATAAAATAAATCAAATCAAATAAAAAAAATTACATAATTTTTCACTTTATTTGAACAACATTTTACAAATGGCAACAGGGTTGATTATTTAAAGATAACTTTTTTTTTTTTCATTTTTGTTTTTAAACGCATCAAAAAAGTAAAAAGTATGGCAAAACTTAATTTTATTAATGAGGAATTGATGGATGGTGAAAAATGTCTATGGCAAGTGGTTGAAAAATAAACGGTGGAAGCAAAAGCATCACAGCCTTCAAAAGCTGCTCTAAAATGTGACGTTTACATCTGCGTGATTTTAACAGCTCTGAGTGTGTATTAGGAAGTGAAGCGGCCCGTGTGTGATGAACACCATCATGACATCACACGTCTGCGTTCGATTTGAGCTTCAGGACATCATACGACAGACGAGGCCTGAATTCCTCTCGCTCTCTCACACACACACACCAACACAAACCATGTGCATGAGCGCTCGCAAACACATAAACACACTGATTAGATGGAAATTAAGCACAAGTTCTGCTGGCATTCCAAGCACATTTCTGTCGGAGACGAGAGACATGAAACACACGAGTCCATCCGACCAACATCCCATCATAACACGACTCTGATATTACAGGCAACATCAGTTCACATTCATGCTGCAGTGTCATTTTACACCCTCTACCGCACGCATTATGATAGACCTATAGAAAAAAATATTTGAATCTTTTTCTTTTCTAAGAATGGCTTAACTTGAAGTGCTGTAAAAAAAAATTTTGAAAAAAATATTATTTTAAGGTACTTTATGATATGTTGCCATACGGCAACAGCATACAATAGTGGATCTAACTTAGAATAAGTGTAAGCTTACTTATATTTAATATTTTTCCTCAGAAATGTTGTTTGTGTTGATTCAATTGGTGCTATTATAAGCTTTAACACAGTACTTACTTATAATTGACACCTTATACATACTTTCCAACAACTTGTGCTTTTATTTATTCTATTCTTTTTTTGCTGAATAATGATTTATAATTGTTTTAATTTCATTACATTTTTCATGAATATTATTTAAACTGCAAATTTATGCAGTTAAAACAGATATAATACTGTATATAATGTATCATAAAACACTGACATAAAACCAAAAACATTGCAGTTCATGAAAATTCAGCATTATGCAATCTCTTGAGAGGAAGACTATGAACATGAGCCCTCACATCGACCCTCCCCCCCGCCAATAATCCTTGAAAGATCACCTTTTTTATGTATGAAACTTCACAAAGCAGTTTTTTCATCTGCAGCAAGAGCAAGTTCTGCCCTTTTCTTCTTTACCTTGCCATAGAATATGGCCGTGCTCACTGATGTAATGTTACCTGTATTCATATTTAATCAAAAGTAAAATTGCCATTTCAATTTTATTATATCCATAATACAAATGCCATTAACATACGACTAATCAACATTATTTCACTAGTATTAATGTTGTTATTGTTACAGCTTAACAAATTGCAGCTGACCTTGCTAGCTAGCTAAACTATTGTAATAATGTCATTCCACTATTGCACAGTGTTGCCGCTTGGCAACACAAACATTTGAATGATTTACCAAAAACGAATTTTATAAAAACTTTTTTGAGAGGTGAATATGTCATCATAACATCATAACAGTGATGTTTTAGATTTTTTTGTAGAAGTGACACGGACTGGTCCTTGTTTGTTACTGACGTTTTAGTTTGCTTTCAGCAACTACCGACAAGAGATGGCAGTCTGTCAGAAATCTCGCCACAGAAAAGAAACTGCATGTCATATAACTTAATCAAAGCACATCATTGGCTAGACTAAGGTCTTCTCTTTCCAACAAAAAAAACGAGAATGTTCTCTTAAAGAGACAGTGGCAAGGAAATGAACACAAAGAGTATGTTGCCATATGGCTACACCATGCGGTAGAGGGTTAAAGACACTCGTCTGGATCATCTGTGAAACAGACATTACACAGCAGCAAATGGAACAATGTTTTTACACTTTTAAATCTGAATGTTATTTTAAGTAGGAGTTTGTCTGCTTTATGATTAAGCACCATGCCAGCTAAAATGGCATATTAATGGTGAGAAAACATAAAAAAATAAAAAAATAATAATTAAAATCAATAAACTTAATTTTATTTAAATTAATTATATTTAATCATTTTAATTTAATACATAAAATAAAATGAATAAATTAAAATAATAAATAATAATTAATTACAAATAAATAAAAATTGATAAATAGATAGATAAATGAATGAATGGTTTTTTAAAGCAATAAGCTCCAAGAAGCCGTGGTTTCACGTCGTGCCTAAAACCCCTTAGCTGTTATAAATTCACTGTAAACCACGGCTTCACGGGGCTTATTGCTTTTATAAAACGGTTATTCCATATACGTAGTAAGGTTTCACAAAATAAAACAGAGCAAATAAAGTGTAATGATATTAATAAAAACAGTATTCCTCCACCAAACAGTGTAGTTCCTCAGAAACAGTTGTGGTTCCAACAAAGTGGTTGCCGAATGTTTGTAGAGTAATTTACAACAGCTTCGAACTTGGCTCAGCCAATCAGAATCAAGGACCGGAACTATCCGTT